ATATATATATATATATATATACACACACACACACACACACACACACACATACACACACACACATACATAAACAGGTCTGTTCTATGAAACCTACTTCCTGATTTCAAGCTTAATTTGGTACCAGGTTTTGAGGGAAGCATGTGAAGTAATGAAACACAACCTGTCCGGACATTACTGGCAATTTTTAAATCATGCTTATTGTAAATAAAATAGCAGTAAGCACACTTTGTAGCATTTGCCTTTTTCACCATGCAGAGGATCATTTACTTCCTAATAGTACAAAAGGTGTGAAATAGTTCAAATGGTTTCATAAACAACCTAATATTGTTTCATAAACAACCTAGATCCTTATTCCAGTGATCTATTAATAGAGATTTTCTGGTTGTTTTTCAAATTAAATTTAAATTTTAGTTAATTTTTACAAGATTCTTAGTTTTCTTAAAATGACAGAATTGCAAAAACAAAATAAAATAATATAAAACCAACAAAATACCCACTTTGCCATAAAACGATTCTAAAGTTTAAATATGAGAGGTTTACAGGTAGCTAAGGCAAATCTGGAAAAGAACAAACAAGGGAAGTGAACCTTAAAACTAGCTATTGTTACTATAAATCTTAACACCAAGGAACACTTTGAATTAGTGCAGAAAAGAAAGACAGAAAAAGGGAATAATATAAAGAGGCTAGAAACCCACTTAAGAATGCAGAAACCTATATTATGATAGGCATTATGTTATTATTACAAAACATTGATAAATGAGAGTAGAAATGAAATATAACATAATTTATTCTTATTAAATCTAACATATAAAAAATGTTTCCTCCTGCTATTAATTCAGATAAATTATTGTCCTAAATATGGAGGAAGTAAAAACCTGTCTACCATTGATGAGGCTGAGGTAACAAACACAAATAAACCCAACTGCAATGTTAACAGGAAGCAATGTTTCTCATAGAAGATACTGTATAACTGTAAATTTTTAGAGCAGCCCCCTACTGCTTTCTTACTCGGAAGACCAGATCTCTAAATTTGTAGACTATAAGCCATGTTGATTATTCGAATTTCATCATTAAGAATGAAATGCTCCCTCTTTATAGAGGATATTGGTCATTGTGAATCAGAGAAGCAGCTTCCATCTCCAACTCAGGTCTTTCTAGACATGACGTTTACTTCAGCCATAAGTTTGTCATTTGCAAGGAAATGGTTCCTGGGTCAAATTTGCAGTCCATACCTGAGGTCAACTCCTTTCAAAATAGCCATGTTTGGCTTTGAGCCTATCAAAACATTGCTTCATTTAAATTTCAAAGAAATGCCACCCTTCCCAAAATTTCTGTAATAATTATTTTTCTTTCTTTGGTGAAATGCTACAAAATTTCTCTCTTAGTGGTCTTTCTTATTACAATGGCTTCATACATCTTATTTCATCCGAGTACAAGTGTGTCTCTGGTGATCTGAGACTAATTGAGAAAAGACAATATATTTGAAAAAATTCCAACATTAATAGAATATTTTATTGGAGAATATTTTGGGGAGAAATTAAAAAGTTAAAGAAAATAAAAACATATGTCATGTAATGAAATATTAATAACATTAAATGAATCAAATGAAATACTCCTAAATTTATAATATATACCATCAAATGATTAACATGAATGATATTTTGAGAAATATTTCCATGATACCTAACCAACAAAATTTAAGTATTAAACAATAAATAAGTATTTTTAAAAATGAAAGTAACCAAACTGAAAAACAGAAAAATGGCATGAAGAGTGAATTTAGAGAAGAATTATATGGTATATTTATATCTATATATATAGATGTAGATAATTGAAAGACAAATGATAAATAATAGGTAGAGCAATAATAGATATAAACGTTCATCTTAATTGGAAACCTGTGAACATGAAAATTAATAAAACAGTAAGATACATTTCTTATTATTAAAATTGGAAAACAATTTTAAAATACTTTAAATATAATATTTTAGAGGATATGGGGAAAAAAGTGGGTTTATCCAATACTCTTGGGAATAAAACTTAAATAACATTAACTATGAATAGCAACTTGATCATTGTATGAAACTCAGAATATTGAATGTTACTAACTAGCTTTATTTTCTTGTATACTGGAGAAAATACAAGAATATTCATTACAATCATTTGTAATTTTAAACTAAGAACAATCTGGAAACATTCTAGTGTGCATAATAATGGATCATTAGGTGGAGAGATCGCAAATGCCTAATGATGAGTGAAAGATCAAAGTGCAGAAATATATCTATACAATGTATCCAGTCCAGTAAATATAAAGCATACACAAATTAGAGGAAAGTCATGGGTAGCCAATTATACTTTCTATTGCCTAAAATTTCTTGTTTTGACAAAATCTTATTTTACATATATTTTTACTTAGATTAAAGATATGGTTCAAAAGTATGAATTGTATGTGTGTATGAAATTATAAATTGTTACCTTATTTAAATAGCAGGAAGTCTTTTACTGTTAACTAAATAGGCCCCTTGTTTGTATGAACTGAATGAAGTATTTGCCTTGCTGTTTTTGTTATTGTTGTTGTTGCTGTTTTTGAAAACAGTCTTTCTGTGCATTTTCCAAAAGGCTGCTTTCATGTCCTTGTTTTTCAGACTGTAGATGATCGGATTCAGTGTTGGTGGCACCATGGTGTAGAAGACAGACACCAGCAAATCCCATTCAGAAGGGGACTCCGACACAGGCTTTAGGTAAGCACTGGACCCTGTAGTGAGGAAAACAGTAAGCACCACCAGATGAGGAATGCATGTTGAGAAGGCTTTTGACCGGCCTTCCACTGATCGTATCTTCAGAACCATGGAGAAGATGTGAATATAAGAAACCAGGATTGAAATAAAACACATAATACCCAAGGATGTTGTCACAATTATGGCTCCAATCTCAGCAATGTATTTCTCTGAGCAGGAGAGTTTGAGTAATGAGGGGATCTCACAGAAGAACTGTTGGACAAAATTTGATCTACAAAATTGTAATGAGAAGGTCACAGATGTATTCAAAAACCCAGAGACAACCCCACTGAGCCATGAAGCAAACACCATCTGCTCACAAGCACCTTTCTTCATGATGACCTGATATTGTAGGGGGCAGCAAATGGCCACATATCTGTCATAGGACATCACTGTGAGCAAGCCGAGCTCTGTACAAGCAAACGATACAACCAAAAAGACCTGTACCACACACCCCAGGAATGATATGGAATGATTCTGGGTAAAGGATTGAATAATGGCCTTGGGAACTGTGACAGAGATGAAGCAGAGATCTAACAATGACAGTGTCTTCAGAAAGAAGTACATGGGACTTTGGAGGTGCTGGTCCAAGGTGGTAAGAAGAATGATGAGCAGGTTGCCAACAAGAGCTGTCAAGTAGATGAGTAAAAACAGCACAGCCTGGAGGACTTGCAACTCCCGCTTGTCTGAAAATCCCATGAGGATGAATTTAGTCACCAACGTGGTGATATTGGCCATGATACTCCTCTTCCTGCAATATGGCAAAAAGAAAATATAGTGAGATGTTTCTTTTACAGCTAAATATTTTATAACTTCATAGTTTGAAAGTTACAGTTTTTTTCCTTTTCAATTTTATACAATAAAATTGTTGTATAAACACAAATTAACAAATATTACTCTTAGTTTTCTGATTTCGGTTATGCATGCTTCCATATGTAAAATGTTTGAAATAAAATGGGGGTGTAATATTAAACTTGATAAAATAAGGTCCACAAAATCTAGGAGAGCCACAGTTACAGACAGTGATTTGAATTACTGTTTTCTAAATTTTATTAAGGTTGCTACAAATTAGTACAATTTTTTGGTACATTTGAGAGAGATTAATTCATAATATCTGATGAATTCTGTTTGACATTGTCACATAATTCTCTTTCAGAACCTAGAAAGAAAGGCTGAAGAGCTTTTTGTTTGTTAGCTACCACTTTGACAAGCAGATGAATCACAGAAACATTTTCTCAGGGTTTTAAAAATGTGTATAATTTGCAAGGTTACCAGAAAACCAATTTTTATAAATTACCAGGCTATCAAGAATCCCCCTTCCTACAAAAGGGTCTTCCTAACTCAGTTGAAGGTTCAATTACATTATAATAGGATTGTTTTATTCACATGCATACTGAGAAGCATTTCCTCCTTTGCATTGCACAGACAACTTCCCTGAAGTATCTTAATGGACATTTCATAAAGAAAAAATAGTTTGTGCTCAAGTATGCCTCAGACTACAGGATGTAATAAAATTTTCTCCAAGTCTGCTCAGAGTTTAAACATGCTAATTGTCACTTTGTCTAAGTTAGGGAATAATATAAAATTTGATTATCTAAATGAGGAAAATAGTCATTAAGAACAAGCTCTGGGGTTAGATTGTCTGGCTTTAGTTCTTTCTCTATCACCTTTTAGTTAGATGAACTTTTTAAAATTGCAATCTCCTTATTCGTCATCATTACCTGAAAAAAAGTGGAACGCTAAGTCATTTGCTCATTCTCTGCATAGATAAGAATGTATTTCATATTAGTTATAGTAACTATTGCTATTTCTCCAAAGATTGGACATGGCAATCTTTCAAAAATGTTTTATAGAGCATTATAAGAAAAATGAGTTTAGAAAACACTGAAGTAAAAGGTTGTGTAAAATATACGGAGGGGAAATCAAAGACCCACTTCTCTTGTAGTAAATGTAAAACTCATGAGGGCAGACTCCTACGTGCCAGGATGAGAATGTGTATCCATGTGATTCTCTTACAGCAAATGATCATGAAAAGGGTAATGGTTTATAATGTGGGAGTGATTAAACTTACTTTCACTCCAAAATATTTGAACAATCGCTCACTTCACACATGTGATTCACTTGTACAACAGATTTTATTTTCCATCAAACCTCCTTCATGAACAATTTGTCCTTACGTCTATAGCCCAGCTTCTACATCAGCCAGAACTCAGACAGGACATGTGGATTGCCTCCTTTGTAGGGGGAAAGAATAAAAATAGATGACATCATTTATTTATAAGATTATAGATGCTGTTTTAAGCAACTCTTGCACATCAGCCTGATCAATATTCAAAACTCCCTTAAGAAGTAGGTATTATGTCAATTTTACAGAGGAGAAAAGTGTGGAAAAAATGGGTTAATTAATTTGCCTAGTGTCAGGAGTAAGTGAATGACGGAGCCGAGGTGTGAACCATTCTAAACCATTGTAAAGCCTGTACATTCACAAACAATGCGATTCATTCTCTCAGGAGAGGTGAACAGGGTTAATGTTGATGTGTCTTAGAAAATACTCCAAGAGAAACATGAGATACCGTATATTTTGGAGAAAATAATTATAAGTACTCAAAATAAATTATAGGTAGCAAGATCCGTTGGGACAAAACAACAAAAATAATGCTCAAAGAAATAAGTGGTAAAACATAATTTTGAGACAAGAGAATAAGAGGAATGATAGCTGGGAAGATCAAAAAGAAATGCAAAAAATGAAAAAGTATTACAGAAATAAAGTGACATTGTAGTACAAAATAATGTTAACTAAACATAATCAAAATCACTCAGGCGCATGTTAGATCTGATTTAGAAAATTACACCATATGAACTGGAAAAAAATAAAGAAAAAAAGGTCTGGTAGAAGATTATAGATAGGGTTAAATATAATAAAGGATTTACAGATTTCTGTAATAACTTTCTAAGCAACCAAGGTACTGACATGAAAACTCAGGCCTAAAAGACGTCAGAAAACTCAGCTCTCTTTCAATCTAAACAAACAACAACAAAAAAGAATAAATAATAATAGTGGAATGGAGACACTTCCTGTAATATTGAATAAATATTGGTGTTGCATATTAAACCATTTTTAATGAAGACTAAATAATACTAAAAAGTACAAAAATTTAGAAATTAAATGTTATACATTTAATAATATTTAAATAGTAATATAAAAATTATAGGTAAAAGAAATGAGAAATGTAACTAGGTAATGTTTTTAAATCTCTCATAACAAGATGAAGAGATTTAAAATATACAGATGACATTTTAAAAAATGCAATAATTTTATTTTAATTAATTCTATTTGTTGCTTAATATTAAAGAGTTATTTTTTAGCTCCCACCAATGAGTGAGAACATGTGGTATTTCTTTTTCTCTGCCTGACTCGTTTCACTCAATATTATTCTCTCAAGGTCCATCCATGTTGTTGCAAATGGCAGTATTTCATTCGTTTTTATAGCTGAGTAGTATTCCATTGTGTAGATATACCACATTTTCCGTATCCACTCATCCGATGATGGACATTTGGGCTGATTCCAGCTCTTGGCTATTGTGAAGAGTGCTGCAATGAACATTGGGAAACAGGTATACCTTCGACTTGATGATTTCCATTCCTTTGGGTATATTCCCAGCAGTGGGATAGCTGGGTCATATGGTAGATCTATCTTCAGCTGTTTGAGGAACCTCCAAACCATTTTCCATAGGGGTTGCACCATTTTGCATTCCCACCGTGGGGAAGAAGATATAACAACTATACTTTTTTGAAGTTGTTACAACAAGCAAACGGAAAGGACATTCTTGGGGGGGAGGGGAGAGAGGGAGGAGGGAGGGAGGTGTCGGTGATGGGCCATAATAATCATATACATTGTTTTTTGACAAAATAAAAATTTAACGAAAAAAAAATATTAAAGAGTTATACTAAGTAATTAGTTTACAGAATTTATTAATGATTTTGTTCCTCTTACGATTTACTATTGTCACATATTCTTTTAATTCAAAATCGATGTAGCATATAGCATTTTTAAAAGTTTCTTCTGTATGCTTGCCTTCACTATTTCCCCCATTCTTAATTCTTTCCTTTCTTCTTTTCTTTTTTAATCCTTTTTTTCCTTTCCTCTTTCTTTCTTTTGATCTTTTTATTTCTGATATTATGCATGTGTCTAGGCAATGAGAGATCTCTTGAGTATTAGATATTTAAAAATCTTTTCCTTATTAATTTAAAAAGCTGTGTTAATTTTAGTAACAAAAAATAATAATTTTTTTAAAACTTCAACTGAGTGAATTAATAGTTATTTTAATGGAGGATTTTTCATTGTTTTTATATTATTGAATGGCCATAGTTAAAAATGTTCCTATTATATTTAAAAGTTTGTATTTCCAATAGGATCTTAATAAGGTAAATATATATATATATATTTGTGGTTAAAAATAAGACCTTGAAAAAGAAACCAAGCTGTATCCGGTGTTCACTTTAAGTGATGGAGTTATTGTTGATTTTTATTTTCATTTTTATACTGCTCTATATTTCCATAGGTTGTCACCATTCCTGGGACAAGAATTCTCTATTAATTTTAATAGAAATATTAATTCATTGACATGCTGAATAAACACTAATATATAAAATATATATACAAATATATACACATAATATATATACAAAAATACATATGAAATATATATGCAAAAATATGTACACAAAATGTATATGTAAAAATAATATATGAAGGAAATATGCTATTGTGCATGTTCTAGATGGTAGGACTATGTGTGACCATTTTCCTAATACATATATATATATACCTATATATATATATGTATACATGCACACACATGTACAAAAATATACATAAATAAAATATATGCACAAAAATAATATATGAAGGAAATAGAACATACTTATGTATGTTCTATGTGTGACCATTTTACTAATATTTTGTCACTTTGTCTTCTTTTGTAATTGGAAAATGTTAATCTTAGCATATGCTCATGTTTAAAAGGCACATATGTACAGATAATGAAGCAAAATAAAAATAAGAAATAAAATATATATATTTTTTTCCTTTTTGTCTTTTTTCGTGACCGGCAACGGATCACAACCCTCAGTGTCACGCCCGTACCGGACCGGGACCGGCAACGGGATTGCAGCCCTCGGTGTTGTGCCCGCACCTCGCTCAGCCAGTGAGCGGCCGGTCTGTACGTGGGATCCGAACCCTTGGCGGGAGCGCCGCCGCGCTCCCAAGCGGCGCACTGTAGCAGTGCGCCACCGGGCCGGCCCAAAATAAAAGATTTTTTTTTAAAGTTGCCTGTGATACAGGGTTTCTGTTCTATTTCCATTCCTAGTGAAAGGTGGTTGTGGATTAGTCTCTCTGAAATCCATTTTCCTCATGAATATGAGTTAGATGAATCATATGTCAATATCTGCCTACCTTTCAGGCTTGTTGTGCAGCTCAATGGGTATTTAGTAATTGAAAATATATTTCTAAATTACCATGATTTATACAAATAAAAAGTAGTAACTTACTTTTTTGGACTGGACATTAATCCCTTAAAATGTGTATATTTAGGAGATTTAAAATATTTCTATTATTTTATTTAAACATGCATACAGTTCTTAGCTACATTAGAAGATATGAAGGTGATTAAAAGCATCTTTCTTATATGAGATTTAATTCTAGGAAGAATGTGTAGAGGACACATAACACTTACGT